TCACAAGAAACTCAAAGCTCTACGTGAGTCAAATCGTGCACTACAACGGTTTCAGCAAGCTTCTCAATCGAGCAATGTTCATTTCTCACCATATGTTGTTCAAACTATAAGCAATTTGCTATGGCTGAGCCAAAGTGTCAAGACTGAGGTTGCCAGATTTTTTTATCGCTGAGACGTTCATGATAACGTTTAGCGCGGGATGTGAATCACGTAGAGCGTTGAGTTTTCATGAGCTGCAGGTGGTTTGAATTGACGCATCAATAATCATTAAATATCTTCGTAAGGAGTTAATTTTGGTAATTTTTGTTGTGCGTATCGTGTTCTACGTGAAATTTTGGTCAAGAAACATGGATCAGAATGCTGAAATTCGTACTTTGTCTAGTGGTCCATTGTAAAATGGACAATGGACCACTAGACAAGGTACGAATTTAAGCAATCTGATACAAGTTTATTAAGCAGAATTTCACATAGGACACGATGCGCACAACGCAAATTACCGAAATGAACTCCTTACGAATATGTTTATGTGAACATTGCTCGATTGAGAGGCTTGCTGAAACCGTTGTAGTGCGCGATTCGACTCACGCAGAGCTTTGAGTTTCTTGTGAGCGGGCAGTTCAAATTCCTCGTAACCATTGTGAAATAAAAACGTTAATATCTTCGTTAGGAGTTGGTTTAAGCTAGTAATTTTCGTTGTGCGAATCGTGCTCTACGTGAAATTCTGACCAGGAAGCATGTATCAGAATGCTTAAATTTGTACCTTGTCTGGTGGTCCATTTGCAAATATAATTTAATACTACTTCATTTGAGAGTTCTTAAAGATCTGATTTCGTAGTATTATTTTCTGACAATTTTAATTGGTTTCTGACATGGGAAATAGAATAAAAATAAACTTATAAGTAAGAAAATGAACCGCCTAGTGACGTCATCTGTTGGTATCTCCCATTTAAAACATGTGTCCCAGAAAATCAGGTCATTTTGTCATATATCCTCCAATAATTGTTCAGTTTATAAATCAACGGTCTCCTCGTTTTCAGTTCAGTCAGTAGATCCCACTTCATTACGGAATTCATCAAATTTGAGACAACTGCAATTTCTCCTTTGATTTCCAGGATAGAAAAGTGAAAATCGCGGTCTTCCTCTGTTTTCATTTCCTTTTCTCCTCCTTTTTAAATGAGTTTGCCTGAACCAACTTGCCACTTTCCTTCCTTTTTTAGTCACATGGAGTGTCCTTTTCGTCTTGGGCGAGTCGGTGGTGACGGCAGGAGAGGGAGGGCACCCACTGTATCGGGCACCGGGCAGTGCAGGATTCCCTGACTGCAGGGAATACCGGGAAAAGTCAGGGAAAAATTGATAAGTCACCTTTATTTGCCTTTTTAAATGAATTTGACGTTTCGAACAACAAATTTTGCACGAAAACTAATTATGTATTTTTACTCGTCTGGTATACCTTCAATTAATTGTCAGGGAATCTGATCAAAATTTGTCGGGGACATCATGGAAATGTCAGGGAATTTTGAAAAGTCAGGGGAAACCTGGATATGTCAAGGAAAATTTGTTAAGTCACCTTATTTGTTTTCTTGAATGGATTTGACGTCGCGAACAACAAATGCCCGAGAAACAATTATGTTTTTTTAACCGTCTGGCATATCTTCAATTGTCAGGGAATAGACCACTAGAGAAGGTACAAATTTAAAGATTCCGATACATGTTTCTCGATCAGAATTTTACGTGAAAGAAGATTCTTGCATCGAAAATTACCGAAATCATTTCCTACCTAAGGTATTAACGATTTTATTTTACATTGGTCTCGGCCAATTCAAATTGCCCGATCACACGTAACTCAAAACTCTACGTGAGTCCAATCGCGTACTACAACGGTTCCTGCAGGCTTCTCAATCTAGCATGCACTGTTCATTTCCCACCCTGTGTTGTTCAAGCTAAAAACAACTTGCTACAGCTGAGCCAAAGCGTCAAGATTGAGGCTGCTAGATTTTCGTATCGCAGAGAGTGTCATGGTAATTTTGAGTGTGCAATTTGACTCAAGTTGACCGGTGAGTTTTCATGAGCGGGAGGTTTGAATTCACGCGTCAATAAACATTGGATCTATTGGTCAGGAGTTATTTTAGTAATTTTCGTTGCGCAAATCGTGTTCTACATAAAATTTTGGTTAAGAAACATGTAGTAGAATGCTTAAATTCGTTCCTTGTCTAGTAGTTCATTTAACTAAAACGTGTCAGGGACATCAGGGAAATGTGAGGGAATTTAATTTTCTAGATTCGGCGGCAACACTGTCCAAGACGGTAGATCGGCCTTTGTTTTTTTTCTTGAGGGCAGGCGTGGAATGAGACAGAAAACGTAACGGCTGTGCTAACTCGCTAAGGAAAAATGCCTTATGAACCCCCAGGCGTTTCCAAATTTCCTTCGATGAAACACGAATTTCCTGGTAAACTTATGAATATTTACCTTTCAATTTTTCAGATAATTTTGTTCGCAATTTCTTGTAAAATCCCTGAAAATTTTAAGGCAAAGTATTCATATCTTTCCTCAAAAATAAACATTCTATCGAAGGAAATTTGGCAACTCTCGAATGTTCATACGGCGCTCTTCCTCAGCACGACAGTGCGGCAGGAATGACACGAGCCCGTGTGGTGTGTGGTGCGTGGGTCAGGAGCCACGGCCGCACAGTGGATCGAGTCCATCAGAGAGGTCGCACATAAAATTTTTGACCAAAACTGCAAATTTGGAAGTTTATCTCGTCACATTTTAAATGTCAATGGGTGATTTTGGAAGAAAATTTCACGAGGAAACCACTCTTAGAGCCTCAAAGTTGTGTTCAAACGGAGTTGTAAGCGTTTAAAGTTTCCAAATTTGGTCCGAGCTCTCTGATTGACTCGAGCCACTGTGGGCCGGCTGCGGCTGTGGCTGGCTGCAGCGGCACCGCAGCGCAGCGCAGCCGAGAGGGAAGAGGAACACACGGAGAGAATTCGACTCAAGGCTGCCCGGTCTATTTTTACTCGACCAGTAGCCATTAGAATAATGCTACACTTACTCGGAATAAATCATCGATTTTATTCAATTATTTGCTCATAAATACGCCTCTCCTTGCCCTGCCCCCTCCCCCGCCCCCGCACTCTCGTCGCACGCTTTCTCATTTTCTGCGGCTTTTCTCCTCGCCCCGCGTTGACGCTCCTCTCCCCGGCTCCCCGGATGAGTGGAGGCGTTTGCCATTCGTATTTGTGCCGACGCATATTTCACTTTCGCTCGCCAGGATCATGCCATTCGGACCCCGTGTGCGCCTGTGCGGAGCGCGGGCACCGCATCCGCGAAAACGGTCGTCGCCCTTCCTCGTCACCCAAGTATGACGTCGATGTTAACATGACGTCACAGTGAGGAGTGCACTGAGGAGCGCAAGCCGTTTTTCAAAAATCCCCTCGGAATGGACATGTTGCATGCACCAGAAAAAAAAAANAAAAAAAAAAAAAAAAAACACATTGGATCTAGAGTCCAGACTCTTAAAAACATCGACAAGAAAAAGTACTCTTGATTCAATCAGAATCTAGCTTAAATCAAGAACCGAGCCTCTTAATTGAAGGGGATTTCGTTTTGATTCAAGCAAAAATCCGATCGAATCAAGAGTATTTTTTCTTGTCAATTTTTTCTTGTCAATTTTTTCAAGAGTCTGGACTCTAGATCCAATGTGTTTTTTTTTTCCAGTGTGTGTGAAGAATTTGCGATTTGATTGTTGATTCTGATGTAAAAGTTCGCGAGAAACAAGATGGTGTGCCACTGGTTTTCTCTGAAATCAACTCCCAAGCTCAAAAAAGCTCTCAAGTTGAGGCCAAAGTGGAGGGGATATCCCACGCTATCCTGAGAGTCCACGTCTACATCAAGACAAACTCTCCATGCATAGATAGGGAGCAAATACATTGACGGGGCTGCCACTTTGTTTGGGGACTCTAAAACTGAAGACACGGCAACCCTGCTCATGTATTTGCTCCCTATCTTCGCATGGGTTTGTCTTGATGTACCTAGACGAGCACTCACAAAATTGGTATTCTCTACCTCAATTTGTTCAAAAGTCACATGGGGGATGTCTGATGATGCGGTATACTTTTGGATCATCCTGTATAAAGTGTCATGCCAGTCCTGTCAAACGGACTTGTGGTTAAAATGGACGGAATGTATGATAGAACTTGCATCAGTCATTACCTACTTTGTACCTAGATGTTATTTTTAATGTCCATAAAAGTAACTGATAACAGCAATCATGATATAATATTTTTCAACGTATATCTTAAGGTATGTCAGCATTAAGTTTGTAGGACATTGCGTGCCTGTATATAGAGCTGAGCCTCTTGAGCCCTCGATCGGTGAAAAATAACGACGAGTTCCTTTACCGTCGTTAATAAATTATTTTACACTCGAATTTTCCCTGTTTTCCTCGTTGGTATTATTAAATACCAGCACTTACGCTCGGAAGCTTCATAATTTATCGCCAAAATGCAGCCTGGACCTTATCAAAACGGAGCTCAGGAAGTAATTTGAAATGCTCATTCTAAAAGCAAATTTTTGCGATCTCAAGCAGGAAAATGAATCTGTTTGAAGTAGGATCAAAGAACAGACCCGTAGGTACTCAAATTAGACAGGGTTTGGCATGAGAATGGTGTTCAATGGACCACCAGACGATTAAATGCAGATTGAACTTCCTACTGACATTTTTCCATATCTAAAGTTACGCAAAACATGTTGATCATATTGGAAACTTTCAAAATTAACTCCCGAGTTAGAAGTTAACGTTTACAATTCAAGCTAACAAAAAATTTAGTATCAGTAGTAGGTATCCGGGATCCAGCTAATTGCATCTGTAGAGTTGCATTTTTCTCAGAGCAAATTCGTCAAGGTAAGTTTCAAATTCATAAAATCAAAAGGTACTTGATATTTTTTAAGGTTTTTATTTAATGATTGATGAGCTGATTTTGTTCTTTTGTCGGTTACAGAAATGCTCTGAGTATTCGGCATCCTTGGTTCCAACTTTTGCTCGAACAGAACCTCCAGACACTCAGGTAATTTTTATTTACTCCTCTCAACGCATGCTTCACCAAAACCTCGAATCTTATGTAAAACGTATCTTGGGCTGCAAGTTTACAGCTAGGATATTCCTTGACTTCACTTTGTTCTCAAATTTTCCCCTTGTTCTTAGAGATAGAAACAGTCGCATTCTTGTATTTCCATCTCATATTTCACTGTTATAGAGGATTACTGATCAGTGTTATTGCAGATTGCACAAAATTTCTGGTGATTTTTCTTCACTTTTCCAATCATATTCTAAAAAAATGATCAACTATAGCCTTGTTTTTTTTTATTACTTAGTGACACTCTCGTGAACGAACAAGAGAAAAATAGAAATTCTGAAACGCTGAAATTGAGAAAAATATTTCCATAGTTTCGCTGTTGATTTTTTTTAACATCTTAAAAAATTATCTTAAGAAGTTTTTTTTTAAAAGAAGTAGCAGTATCAGTACAATTAGTACTACTACCACCATAATTCTCATTTGTACAGTAGTTTTTCCACTTCTTTACAGTTAAGGAGCACACGTTAATTCTTTCCCTCATAATGTGTCTCACATTCTGCCTAATTTGCCTCTAATAACTGTGATGGCAATTGAAGCGGCTTGGAAGCACGAACAGTTACGCTCCGTAAATTTGCCTCTTCTGCACAGCCCACGCAAAGAACACAACAAAAATCATGCCTTTTTCACTTTCACTTGACCCCAATGTGTTACACGCCGGTGCCTAATTTTTGTTTTTCACTATATCAGTTTATTGTTGTTTTTCATTTATAATTCATTTTTCGATTCAACAAAAGTAGTCTGACAAACATAGCCTGAGCGCTGTGCGAAGCACAGATAGTTCTTTTAGTTTTTAAAAAGTTATTTCTAGTTTTTTCCAAATACCTGTCAAATTTTTCAATCTCTCAATTTAATCTTGAATATTTTGTATGAAGTCGGTATGTTTTTCACTTTTCACCTTAAATTTTTTTGAAAAGATATACTCCTAATCTTTTACATGTTCCTGAAGAATTGAAAGGGACTGTCATTTTAAAAAACTCTGGAATAATGGCCCATCCAGAATAAACTCCTCTGTCCTTTCACCAACTAATTCAAAAAGGGAAGTGAATTGCGAAGTTAAATGCATGCACAGAATCCATCAGCGTTGTAGTGTCTGATTTTGGAATCTTAGAAAACACGTCTTAGTAACTGATGAGAAAACAGAGACTCTCCTTTGCGTGCTTCAGCCAGAAAGTCAGGTCAAAGATTATTTAAGTTAGTAAATATTCTTGAAAGTCTATGCATGATGCTAAGTATCTGTACTTACTTTTGCTTTAGTGGCTTATACATCCTGCAAAATTGATTATTCAAGTACTGCTCACTTCTGCTCCACTTTGAGTACTAAAACCATGTGTACCTGTTCACTATTTCTTCCTTTTTTTCTTCAAAACATTTATATAATCAATTGTAAACTGGGCTTGGTATTCTACAAAATTGATTATTAAAGTATGTATAGCACACTTCTGCTCTACTCCCAGCATCAGAAACTCAGTGTTACGGTTTACTATTTTTTTCTTTTTTTCTTTCTTTAAGGCTGAATAAGCTTCAAACTTTCTCCCTTAATTGAATCAGTGAGAACGAAAGAAAACACACCAACTCGAAAAAATGAAAGTAATGAAGGCACACAAAACTGCTCAGTAGGTGGAGAAGTTAGTCCAAGAAAAAGATTTTTGGTGCTGAAAAGCAAGTAGGTACTCAAGGACGCTTTAAAGGTCCAAGTTGGAAAAGATGTGCTGACTTCAATGACCGTAATGAAAATTGACTGTTTTCAATAAATTTGAGATATTTCGAGTTACTGAGTTGGTTTTTTTTCGTTCTCACTGTTTCAATTAGCTGTAATGTTGGTTTGGTGGTTCTACCATTTCAAACCGTGAAAGGGGTATAAAACACCTCTAAGAGTGAGACAAAAATTTTGACTTGACGTCATAGCCCTGGTGCTTGTTTTTTCGAGACAAAAATACTCATTTTAAGGGGAAGAAACGCATTTGGAGTAAAGTCTCTCTTTCAGAGTCAATGAGTCTACCCATTTCCTTAAATGAAGTATGAATTCTCTCTCTTTCCCCAGCAGCCATTCTGGATTTTTTCCTGCCCCATCTCTTTGGAACGTTTTGTTCACACTAGCAATAGACATTAATGCCTGTATTTATTTGATTTTTTCAATAGGTAACCAAATCAGTGATCTCACTTCTTAAATATTACGACTGGAAAAAATTTAGTATATTATATGAAGAAAGCTGGACTCCTGTGGCAGAATCGTTAAAGGCAGCAATGCCTAAAAACAACTTAACTTACAATCATTACAAATTGGTTGTGGATAGACATAAATGCTGCGAAGAGCAAAAACCCTGCTGTAATCAAGTCTTTTGGCATAAGGAAGTAGAAGAAATGCGAAATAAAACTAGAAGTAAGCAGATCTCTTATTTAATTTTTCCTTTTGAACATTGATTGCATGTTAGAAATTACTTATCAATGCGCCGCGTCCGTGAAAATCTTGGAATCTCTCAGTTTTTGCTTTTTTGACTATTCAAGTAAACGTCAATTATCACTACAAGAACTCCTCAGATCAATTTGTTTGATGAAAGCTTTATTTTTGAAGCTTAACAAGCTTTCACACATTTCTGACCAGAAATGTTTCAGTGACTTCATAATTATTTTGTGACTATCAAGTAAATTGTCCATCAGAGCAGAGTTAAAATTTGAAAATTGAAAGAGGATAATCAGACATGTATCTATCATTCATTCAAACCCTTGAATGTTCTTAATGTGGTACTGCAAAGAGTACTGCTGGGTGTGGCCTTGCAGCCTACTTCATGTTGTTGCTTTTTAGTACAGCAGAGTAAGGGTGTGGTCCCTCAGGGTTGAAGATATTTTCCTCTAATTTCATATAGCCATCACACATGTCTATGTCCTTTGAATATTATATCATTTCTGTAAGCTCCATTTCATACTTTTCACAGTCTCATACCTCTTTCAGTGTCCCAATTTTTTGCCTTCCAAAATATTTTTAAGGATGCATATTCAGGAAGGAGGGGACAAATACTTCTCTAACAGTTAGAACGTTCAGTGGGGTATAGTTCTAAGTACAATTTATGAAAATAATATATTTTAATGACTGACTAATCTCTAATCAGCAGATTTTTTTTTAATCTTGTGGGATTTTGTCTTAAATGCAGTTTGACTTAACAAGATTTCACTGAATATTTTTGTTCATGTTCAATGGAAAAATGTAGCTTTTGGACAGTTACAGTCATTTTCATTTAATCTGAAGTATCAACCATCATAACAATGTTCTGCATTTTTATAAAAGGGGCCATTTGAGGTGGTTTCTGTGTAATTTTCTCTGAAAATTTTTAATGTTTGTTGGCAGTCTTTGTTTTTTTGGGAGCAACAGATAATCTAATTGATATGATGGCCACCATGCAAGCCCTGCAAATGTTTGAAAATGGAGAGTACATGGTCATCTACGTTGATATGAACACCTATTCTCTCAAAGATGCACACAAATACCTATGGAGTAAGTTCGCCTAAAAGCCATTGTCTTCTGTCTCTATACATTATCAATATAATCACAGCAGTGATAAATCTGAGTTTTATGTTAACCCTATTAGGATCTCTTAATGAGGGAGATGATTTCAATATTTTTTTATATTTTTCGCTTTCCCATTTTTCCTCATTTTTTTTCAGTAAAACGTCATTGAGTTAGGCTATTACATAATTTAGATGAAGATGGGGCAGATTGAGGAAGAAATATTAATGCTGATTGATATCGAAAATTGCACTCTTTATTGAGTCATGTACTGTACACAAAAACAATTGTTCAATGCAGACTAGCTAGATTGCTGTTTTTTCTCCGCTTAATTACATTTTTTCTCTTTTGTTCCAAGACAGAGGTACATCATATATTTTTAAGAAAAATAGTTCTGATCTGAGAGGAATTTGTTAAATTTTTCTCAATTTCAGATTTGCATTTTTTTTTTCTTCTTCATTTTGCTTGGTTAGCAATGGAATCGTTGTGGCATTAGGTACATCATTTCAAAGACTTAGTAAGGCTGTGACTTGAAATGCAGTGCAGTGAAATAAATAGGTCTACTTATCATTAGTAATTTTAAGGAATGAAAATTTTCAAATCAGAAGGAAAAAAATTGTTGGTGCACACAAGAGGCTATGCCATTGCCTACGCCAAAGGAGAAGCCATAATCATTTACGAATAACGTCATGCTAGTGCAGGAAACTCCAACAATATATAACACGTATTCTAATGGGAGAACGCATGATGCGTGTTCGTCTCATGCTGATATCTTTTCAGGGGTTGATCTGATGCAAAAATCCACGAGAACCTTTTTACCCTTAAGTACTGATCAATGAGGGAAATCACACATCTGATTTTATGTTCTCTCGTTCAAATACCAAAAGTTGGATTCAGAAAATGTTTACACATGCAATGAATATACAGTAGCCGCTCGATAATTCGAAGTTGGAGGGACCAGGGATTTTCTTGGACCAGGGAACGAGTTTTCGAATTGGCGAGATTTCGAATTTTGGAGAGCGGTTACAAAAAAAGTAGAAACAAAGAGAGTTACAAATTAGCTCTATAATTCGAAGTGGTGGAACCGAACGCTCTATAATTCAAATCAGATAATCAGAGGATTTAATTGTAAATTCCTCTGTTCTCCATCCGTCAGGCATTGACATATGTATGTTAATCAAAACAACCGCCTCGAGACTTCGAATTGTAAAGTGCCTGGCATAGATATTTTGAATTACAGAGCTTTTCACAAGCCGTTTTTCCACCGAAAAATTCGAATTACCGAGAGGGTAAAAATACACTGAATTTTTTGTCTTGATGCGATTTCCCCAAGGGGATCAGTGTCACCGTCGAATTATAGAGCTTTTCGAATTATCGAGCGTCAAATTATCGAGCGGCTACTGTAGTTCTGATGAAGGTAATAAAGGAAATGCAGTCTATGAATCCAATCAAATGGAATTTAAATCTAAAAGTGATTTAAGTTTGTTACGGATGCTAATAAACTGATAAGAATTGCTCATCAAAAACAATTTGATTAATTTCTCTTACTAGTATCCTAGTCTTAATTCTAAGTCCAGTGTTTTCCGATTGAAAATCTACTGTGCTCTTCTGCCTCTTTTTATTTGTCTGCATTTTGTTGCAGCATTTAATCAGTTGGATGAGAAAAAAACCTGTTCTGAGCCGGGGTTTGAGAAGTGGGGAAAGTCACTTTTAGTCATAGTTTTGTCTGAACCAGTTCAAAGTTATGAAAATTTCACCCAGAAAGTGCGGCAGTATAATCTACTACCACCCTTCAACTTTGTTACGCCTCCTATTTTTGATAGAAGTTCTTATATCAAAGTAAGATACCTATCCTAATTTTTTTTATAGAACTTTAAGTCAATGAAGAAGGTCTTAATTTCTCATTTGTGCTATCCAGAAGAGTTTGTCCTTTATAGTGAGTTTTGCAAAAGCAAAAGTTGCCGTCAATTGTTTACCTGCTATATTGTCATTCCCTCAACTTAATTCTAACAGAGACTCATCAAAAATCCCTACCCATATTCTGTTTTTTAAAAAGGATACTAACTGTTATAAAACTCTGATTATGCTCCTCTAACCATGAAGAGCATTCTCCGAAAATTAAAGTTGAAGATTTTCTTTTGTTTCGTTTGTCTTCTCGGGAGGA